TTAATTGCTTAGCCTTTGGCCTAATTCTTTTTCATAAGCAAAAACATTTCAATGTGCAACAAGTTTGCAAGAAGTAAAAGGAGATTCACCCACCTCACACACATACAGTACCGTTGGAAAAAAATAGCACATAATAATTTTAATATCACTGCCATCACCTGGCAATAATTGCTAGAAAATAATTTCTAGTAGGCAAATTGCCCAGAATAGCATGGTGAGCATGTTAGCTTACAACATTTTTGGGTCTGTCAGAGAGCCTGCTAATATTAAAAATGAAATGAGGCGCATACATACTGTTTCCAAGAGTTTCAGTTCTTTTCTTTGTTTTCAGACGAATTACTGATGACCCTGTCAAAAAAAATCATCAAACCATCCTACTCTGACAATTGTAAAAAACAACTTGATTGACTGCGAGGCTGACAGTAATAGTGCCTGAATGACAAAGAAAAAAATGACAAGATAAGTGTAGAAAATTGTTGGCTAAAGTATGTGGTACGCAAGATGAAATGTTAAAAATAGTGAGCGCTGATATATGTTAATAATAATAATAATAAACTTTATTTTATATAGCGCCTTTAAAGGTGGCTTCTCAAAGCGCTTTACAGGATGACAATAACAATAAATAAGAAGACTACAACAATAAATAAGAAAATTTCACAAGACAGGACACAATTATAATTACAACAATACAACAATAACAATAGAGGAGACCGTGGAAGATGGTATTAAGAAGAGCAGAGGGGTGAAGAATGGAACCAGTTAAGTAAAGGCTTTTCTGAAAAGGAGGGTTTTGAGTCTGGATTTGAAGGAGTTTAGAGAAGGTGACTCTCTAATATCCTTGGGCAAGGAGTTCCAGAGCTTGGGGGCATAGCAGGAGAAGGCCCTGTCGCCCATACAATGTAGATGGGCTTGGGGGACAGTAAGGAGGGCAGAATTTGAAGAGGGGAGGTTGCGAGGTGGGGAGTAGGGCGATAAAAGTTCAGACAGGTATTGAGGTGCCAAGCCATGTAAAGCCTTGTAGGTGAGCATGAGGATTTTAAAGTCTACGCGGAATTTGACCGGAAGCCAGTGCAAGGACTCCAGGATAGGAGTAATGTGAACACTTGCACTAGATCTGGTCAGGATTCTGGCTGCTGAATTTTGGACATACTGTACAATCAAAGATTGTAATGCTGTTGAGAAAAACATCTTAACTGAACTGTGGGCGGGATAATGACAGACAAAGCCAGTTTCACTCAACTGTTTTAAATCACAGTCGTTACAGACTTTTACTGTATACAGAGCCTATAGAAAGAACCCTTTCTGATATAACACATTTTGTGGTCTAGCAGCCTGAAACCAAGACACAATTTCCGCAGCGGAACACACAACCTACAAGTGAAAAAAATTGATCAGAGATTCTGAAAAGTAATTACAAATACCTAGAAAAATGTGTTATATACACTAAATGTCTCCACCACACATTTCTTTTTGCATTTTTGTTGCATTTATTGTATACATAGTCCATGGTCCAAACTAAATAAAAAGAAAGAAATCTCCTTGTCTCTAATTTGTTTCATGCATAATTCAATACATGGACCATACTCTGCACCATTGACATCCACAAAGACTTAAGGAAAAGAAAACGTCCATGTTATATATAACTTTTAAAACTGAACAAGAAAACACCCTAAGACAAAAACAAAGAGACACAGCAGTGTCTTTTTAAAAAATATGCCTCTTCAATATGGATCTGCAGATCTTTTAGTTTTGAACAAGAATCTCCACTTCTCATAATCACAATGCCATGTCGTCTTTCTCTGCTACCACATCGTTCCTGCTGTATTCCCATTACTGCAATCCCTGGCATCAAACACTGAAGTCTAGTTGGGTTTCAAAGGAATGTCCACAGTCGTGGCTGTCACGGATGTTGGAAGGGCATGCCGTGGTATGGCCAGGAGAGCAATAAAAACCCTATGCGTAGCAGTAAAAGGGGCAACATTGGGGTTAGCCCAGGCTCAGGGGGTCAGACAATGTCAGTATAGAAACCTATGCCCTCAGGCCACGGACATGGGGCGACCTGGTGCTAGGCGGGTCTCAGGACATCCGTACCCTCAATGCTGAGCAAGGAGCAGAGCAGACACAGGAAGTAAATAGGCTACACAACAAGACACACCAGAAATACATGAATAATCACAGGGAACTAGGAACAGGACAGAAGAGCAGCGCCCTCTAAGTGTACAAGGAGTGACAATGGCATCCTCTTCAAAAAAGGAAAGCACCTATTCTTTTTTTCTTTATGTCATCCAGTGTACTTAGACTGATGACACGACCCAGCACGCAGCTAGATGACTTTTATTAAAAGGACCCCTGGGTTGCCCCTACTGCCACTCTCTGGCCTTCCATTCATTTTTTTCCCTCATCCTCTTGTGCTTTAATTTACGCTTTACTTTCTCCTGCACTCTCTTCTGCTTCTATCTCCAACATCCAATGTTGCTCGATCGCGATGTCTTTGGTGTCTTAAAACCCGGGTTCCTCCCTCTCAGCCTCTACTGCTTTTGATCCATCTCTTTAGCCCTGGTTCTGCCTGGTGTCCTACCTCCAGCTCAGTCAGTAGGCATCCTACAGCTTTTAATGTCTGCTTTCCCTTTTCAAGGTAATTCAAGGTCATGTTTGCATTTCCCTGTTTCCTTCTGTCTCTTTCTGCATTGGTGTTTTTTTGGGGGGTTTCCTTGTTTTATTTTGGGGTTCTGAGCTTCGTTGTCTGATGGTCAGACATGGCAGGTTAAGCCAACACGTATTATACATAAATACTCAATCAACATTAACAAAATATCCAATATTTGGATGTTATAATTCCTTGTGAACTTTTTCTCCTAATATTGCACTTTTTACATTCTTATAATTTCAGTGTTCTATTATTTTTCTTTTATTGTGTTTTTTAATATAATTTGTTTTTATGCATGAATAAACTATGAAAGGACTACGTTTAATGAGTAAAAATAAATTATATATATATATCTGTATATCATACAGCTGAGTATGTGCTGTTTTTTAGTGTTTTTGTTTACATTAGGAATGCTTCCTGACTTATTTTTCAAGGAATTCTCAAACTGGCAAGTCATTTAAAATGGCCTGTGATTTTCAGTGGCAGTACATGAAATGAAAATGAATAAATGAAGACTTGATGATGATGATTATGTTAATTTCTAGTGAGTAATTTGGATATTTTCCAAAAATTTCAAAGATCAAAATTCTGACCAAAATCCAGTTGCTGAAACCTTTAGGATATTGAATCCACTTAAAATTTACAGTAAAAGCACAATAGAGAACTGTTCACTTTGTCTAAACCAACACTAAAATGATTAAACAGCATTTAGAAATCTATATCTTTTTCATTAGATAAACAGATTGATATATTTTAAATAAATCTCACAGTATTTTTGAGAGTCCTGAATATTGAATGTCAACACTTCTGACATTTAACCTATAATGAAAGCACCATATATGGCCTCACACTAACAGTCAATTAAAAAGTGAAATAGAAAATGGCTCTCAGGTAAGATCTGTGCATGAGATTCTTATCATTTTGGTATCATAATAATCATGATCACCATCACCATCGTTGTTATTAATATTTCATCATTTTGCTATCATGTTCACTTGCTGAATGACTCTGTCTTTGATCTGATATGTCTAGCTTTGGACTCAAAATAGATGAAACCAATTGCTTTTATAAAGGCCTTAAATAAAACTGTCTCACTCTAGAATTGATTAGAGCGCACACAGACTACGAAACAAGAGCGACGTGAGCGACTGTACTTTTTTCTGTAAATAACATTTCTAGTTTAATTCTTAATTGTTCTGTATTGTTTAGAAATAAGGGTCTCCTAACTGTTCTCCTGTCTCTATACTTCTTAATTCCATTCATTTTCCCAATTAACACTAGCTAAAGTACTTGTCTCTGGCAGAGTGTTGTACTATGGGGCTATATTATCTATATTCTCGTATAGCATGTTTGTGCATGTTGTGCTGTAGATTAAAATAAAACTTGTTTGTTAGTAAAAAAAAGACTTCTGGACTCATTTACTGAAAGATAATTTTCAAGAGATATCAAAAAGAGTTTCATGCAGTTTGTTTTTTTATTACAGATAATGGGTTAGTGATGAATCATACTTAGAGCAAACAGTGCAGAGGGTAAAGAAAAAGTAAATGTGAAACAAAGCATATATTAACATACAGTACGTTTATTTAATATGAACCCCGGCAGGCTTCATTCATTCACTTTTTGGCTCATTTACAAGACTGTATTATCATATTTAAAATCGTGTTTTTTTATGTAAATCACCAACCACTCCTTTCTTATAATATCACTTCAAAAAACTAAAACCCAAGATGACCATTGTACAATGAGACACACACACTTCTAAGTGATTAAATATCCAGTCCTGAGGGACCTCTATCTCCCTCTCTTTCTTTTTCCTTTCCACCCATTTTCTGTCTCTTCACACCTGCCTTGAGATAAATGTGCGAGAGTAAAGTGACCCATTTCTAAAAGACCTCTTGCCACGTTCTGAACAAGATAAAGATGCCTTGTGTTTCAAAACACTATCTGTTATCTGTGTTATTCTGACCCAACGACACTTGGGGACTTTTCATAGCCCCTTAACTGAATGAACCCATCAATCTCGAAATTGATCTGAGCGACAATAATTGCATGGTGACTTTCAAAAGAGGTCTCCTGCTGTTTGTAACAACATTTATTATTATTATAGATTTTCCATAAGATTTGTTGTCGTTCATACTTCCCAGATTCCTCAAGGAGTACAACTAGAATTTAGTTTTATTGAAAACAGGACAGGCTGTTTTTTTTTGTGGTGTGTGATATAGTAGCAGCTAAAATGAGGCCAGTGTGTAGTTTTTACATAATTAAGGAGAGTGGCAAGGATGCACAATAGGCATTGCCAGGCTATATTTTATTTTAAGCAGTGTAATGTATATTAATTCAGGCGTGTACGTACCCTAGATTTCTTTGACAGCCAGTCGTGCTGTTCAGCTATAGCCAATGCAGCCTTGTGTACTTTCTGATAAATGGCTTCTCCTTCTCTTGTCTGGAAAGTGAAGAGGCCCTCTCCAGTGTCGCACATCCTGGTGTGATGAGAATAGTTTAAATATAATGTATCTATGCACAGTACAGCATCCTTTAAGTAGGTCTGTAAATAAAAAGTAGAATACAAAAACATGTTTTCTTCATTCTACGCTGCAAATGTTCTCTTTTCTAAATAGTACCTGACTCTATTTTATATTTTGCACTTACATTTTGCTTTTCCTTTTTGCATTGTTGCCTAATTTGATTTCCTGATGATTATGGCTAGAGGTTAAACCAGAGAGAATTCACCCAAAAGAATTGTGGTCTGTTTCTGAAGAAGGGAAAAAATCTAACGTTTTGTTCTAAACTCCAAGAAATCGCTATTTTCTGGAGTTTTTTTATTTCAAAAGTATAGTTATTATCTGGTTGTCTGGTCATTTATGGAAAAAATAATATCTCTGTGAGGTGAGTATAGATATATCTGCCAGTTAAGGTCCTTTTTATTTAAATTAATGCCTGTTAAATTATAAAGTACCAAAGAGCTGCACAAAGCTTTTAAGGCAATAGCAAAGTCAGACTCTACAGTGGCAATACCAAACAAGAACGTGCATGGATAAACATTCATCAAAGCCAGTTTTTGTCAAGGTGTGCCTTCCCCACATCACTGTAGGGTGCTCCTCATTCCGGGAGTTGTGGTTTATTTTGGAGACTCTTCAGCCTTTGATTTGTTCTTCGGGTTAACATCATGAGTTTTAAGATGATTAATGCTGCCACATCAGTGAAAACAACATTAACTGTATGAGAAAAGACAAAGCTGATGCTAAAAGACATATACTGCCTGATGTCATACTGTAAATGATGTTGTCTATTATACATGATTTGGCATTTAGCAAGCCAAACCCAACTGGTGACAAGGACATATTGGACTCCCATCACAGTTAGATGTCATTTTACGCAACACAGTATATTCTATGTGAAAATAAAATTGTGTGTTTAAGGATGCAAAGATATTACTGAATCTAAGGATTATACTGAATGAAAGGAAAAAATAGTATTTTTCTATTCCCCAGTTTATCTTATGTAGTCTTATCTTAAGACTACAGAGGAGTTTAGTATATATTGATAAGAAAGGCTGTGCAGATGTACAGCCGAAAAAGAAAAATGACAAAAAAAAAACAGATGACGAAATTGAGAAATCCCAGTTGTACAAGTAAAAGCGCATGAGCCCAAGGGTGTTTTTTATTTTGTGCCCCCTGGAGTTTTGTTTTTACAAAAGCTTGTAGTACAAACATGTCCAAGCTTGGTTGTGCTTAGATTATGCTTACCTGCCAGCTTCAAATGTAAACCAGTTGTGATCACGACCATAACGCCTCAGAGCGGTAAGGGGCCAAGAGACAATTTTGAGACGGGGATTCAGGACATCCCACAAGCCAATCGTCTCAAAGGTGATCTGCAGGATACATTCTCCGTGGACATCCAGGTTTGGGGAAGGCATCAGAAACACATGGAACCTTTCTAAGGAAAGAAGTAAGGCTGGTTAATCAGAGATGTGGAGCAACAGAAAGACATCATTAAGGCTGTGACTGCTATGTGATGAACATTCATTTTTAGTTGGATTATAAAACATGGATAAAAGCCGTTGGACCAGCTATGGCCCAGCATAACCTGCCAGTTGCAGCTCCTCAACGTTTATCAACTTCTTTTGGAAGGCACTGCCCTCATTCCAGATCCTGCCCCAAAGTATGCTTTTAGCAAAAGGCACAGGAAAAGGCAAAACCTTTGCAAATCATGTTCTTTCACTGTAGGAACTTTGCTTAATACCCCCTGGTGAGGAATCTAGAGTGTACTGTTGCCCAGCATTCCTCCCAAAGGTCATCTACCCTCTTATCTGCCTTGCCATGCCCTTGGTTGCCTCCTGTGAGCCCCCTTACCCTCCTCCTTCAGGTGCCCTCGGAAATCTCCAATATCCCCATTAGGCCTAGAACCACTGCTGCTGCCACCTGGGCACAGCTGCACCATAACAGGCATATCTCGGGGAAGACAGGGTGCCATGTCTTAAGTGCTCATCTCCCCACCCCTGTGAGCAATGGTAAGCTAGTGTTTTGCTGTAGCTCTTCTCTTTCAGAGAATCAGGGTCACAGGACCAATTTGATATTCTTGAGACAGACACATCTATGTAGTTAAACAAATACAAATCATGCTATAGAATGATATTTTTTCAAATGTAATATGAAAAAATTAGATGAAATGACACATTGAAAAGCAATGAAAACTATAAGGGAAGACAAAGCACCCTATCGGGTCTCAGTTTCAATACGAACCACTCCATTCTCTGAATACCCCTGTGGCTAGCAGGTCTGGTTCTCCCAAGTTGAAGTCATTGATTTTGGGTCCCACACATTCAATGTGCAGCACTTTGCACCATTCGTTTGCCTCCAGCTCTACACGGTAAAAAAGACGAAGAATGATTCACTTGTTGCCATCAGAGAATCACATGACTCACAGATGGCTCACACAGTTCTCAGAAAGAAGCTTGCGTTCTGAAAGTTGCCAGAGTATTATGTTGTCTTTAATAGATCTTTAGACCGTTTAAAGTCTTTTTCTGATTTTATTGATACAGCTACTGTTAAGGCAACATTACTAATGTGTACGTTGTGTAATACTGATTTCTGGTGGCTTCAACATGTCAGCTTTTGGTTCTGGTCAGACTAAAATAAATAAAAATCATGACTGAACATAATTTGGTAAGTATCACTGCCAAAATTAGTAAAACAAGTTATTAACTGAGTTAATAAACTAAACAGGTCTTGAAGACATTTTCAGTGCCATTAAATGTAAACGTCATAAAATGTAAACATCAATCCAAATTTTACTTTGAATTTTTAAAACTCAAAGATTTAGACAACATTTTACATTGTACTTCATTCATATTTCATCATGAATTATTCAGTCTGGTCATATTACTGTAAGAAGTAATTATGTCTTGAGGGATTTCTTCATTTTGAACCTCATTAGTTTAAAATATGAGCACAATCAGGGTGCTTCATTTTTACTAATTGTAATTGTAAGAAGAATCCAAATGAAAAAAAAAATCTGTTTTTTAATTATTTCAAAATTCAAATTATTCAAAAGGAATGGTTACATTGAATTAGATTTGAGGGATGTGCTGATGACATTCTGAGTGACTAGAACAAGTTTGTGCTTGCAACAGTCTCGTAAAAATGGTTTCCCCACTATCTAGATATTGCATTCATGTCTTGCTTGATCAATTTGTTATCTTAACTTCTTAGCATAACTCATGTTGGATGTTGTTATTTCTTTTCCCCATATTAGACTAAAGTAGTATTTGACTGCTGTGTACATTCTGGTGAGCACTCACATTCTCACTCAAACATAACCGCCCAACATGTCCTAAGGAACAGAATAAAAATAATCTTCAGTGAATGACTCGAAAAATAGAGGAAAAGCCAATCATACATACTAGCTTATGCTAAATGTAATAATCTAGCCAGTGACTTTGAAGAATGAAATTCAAGCCATCATCAATTAAATTCTAGTAATGACAGCCATTGATTTTTTTTTCTGTCATCTGTATTATTAAGTCATACTCACCTGAATCACATGCAAAAGTCTTTGAGGTGTCATCATTAAAAATGACTGCCACAGCATGCTTCTTTGTGCCCTTGGGTATCCTAGTTATACTTTTCACATTATTCAATTCAGTCACCTAAAAAAAAGTTTGTATAATTGGAAATGGATTTTTTAACAGACGTTTGGGAGGAAAGTTAGATCCTTATCTCTTCTGAGATTGTCACTCAGTAAAATTCAGTGTGGTAGTAGTGATGTGTAAAAGATGTCACTAGGGAACTCACTTGTAATCTATTTTTGTTTAAAAACATATGATTTTAATCAAAAGTGTCATTCCAGATCAAAAATCTATCTACCTTTCCAGCTTTGGTCAATACCGTGATCATAGCTGCATTTGGCAGTTTTGCTTTGTTCTCTGTAGAAACCTCTTTAAAAAGTGTCTCTAAATGGGATTTTTACATGTGGAATTTCTAAACCAATGGGTACAGAACCAGCATTGAGTGGTGGAAATTCTGTTCATCTTTCTCCTGAGAATCAGCAATGCTAAATGTAACAGATGACTCTACTGTATGTTTATGCTTTGTCTTCAACGATAAATCCTCTCTATCAGGACAAAATGTGATAAGAGTTGCTGCACAGTGGGAATGTATGAATTCAGCCCCATTAAAGCCACATCCCCAGAGCCATAGCTTTCAACTGGCTTGTATCAATGTGAAAAATGAGAGAGATGCGTCAGTTCCAAATTCTTCTTTATTCCCTATGAGTTGATCATTTGGAAATGAATCCAATCTCTGTTCTGACATAATTAAGAACCAAAAGTGATATATAAAACACTTATTTTCTATAAAGCTTTCCATTTGGGTCCTAGGAGCTCTCAAGATTAATAAATCTCCAGGGTCCTATGGCATCTTATCAATTATACTTAAAGAATCTAGACAAATTTGTTCAGAAGCTATTGATGCAACTCTTTGAACACTTGCTTAAGCCAAAGATAGTGTCCAGGCAATGCAGGCACTGCTATTGCAGAGCCTATCTATAAACAGTCAGAGAAAACTGAACCCATTTACAAAGGAAAACAGGCCATCTTGCCCATCCAGTCTATTTGGCAGTTAGTTGCTAACTGAGTTGAGCATCTCAGTCAGCTAAAGCCTGAAAGAAACCAGGGTTTCAGCTTCAAAACAATCACTGAAAAAGACTCAAAAAACATTATTTGTGTATTTTAGTAGTCACCCAACACAATAGTATAGTGGAGCTGAATTATTTTAATATTTATAATCATTCATAATGTATTAGAAAAGTATGTAAAATCCATTCATTCCTATGCCAGAAATGTTTCTGCTCTCCTGTCATGTGTAAAGGAAGGGTGATCTTTTCTCCGTGGGTACAGCTCTAAGTCAATATCTTGCTTAGAAATTAATTATTTGTTTTAATTATTGAAGGTGACTTGCCTTGTGATAGCACCGGAAATAGGCTGCTCGCTCATCTGAAAACTTTTCCAGTCTCTTTGGGCCTTTGCTCGATGCCTTCTTGAATACCAGCCAGCACCTCTGATAGATCTGCAGAAAACAATGGATGCCCAGCAAGCAGTTCATTCTAGTAAATTACACCTGATTTGATTAATGCCTTTTCTGTACTTTACTTATTCATACAGAGATTCGAAGGATTTAACAATCTATCTTTTTATAGGTCATGAATAAGATACAGTATATTTATTAGTTCCCCAGGGGGTTACATTTGGTTTTTAGTTTTGACTGGCCTACCTTTTCTTCAACTGTGATCAATGTTTGTTCCTATAATTACCTCATGGACTTGAAAAAAGATTGCAAATGAGAGAAGATTATTTGGCCTGTCTTGCCTTTGTGGTTGCAAGTTGGTTATCTGTTAACCCCGAACACAATTTAAACTAATTTTTTAATTTATTTTTAATTTTTCTTCTTCCAGTGCATTATATTATTAGACTATATTAAAAAAACTAATAAAATATTTGAGATTTTTAGCATGAAAGTTGTTTTGGAAAGGAAATAGAAAACCTTATTTCTTTATTTATGCATAAACATAAGGACATCTATCAGAACTAGAATCAGCAATGCTTTCTATTTAGAGGCATGTTTCTGTCTCAGGATGAATTAATGGGTAAAATAAAAGAGAAGAGTCTTAGAAGTGTTTGTAAAACGAACAAAAAATGTGTGCTGAACCTCAGGTTCTCTCATTCTTTTGATGTAATCCCCACTCTAGAAACGTCTGAAGCATATTAATTGTTTATATCATTTATACAAAATTTATTTATATACCTATTTATTTTTACACCCTGTATGACCTGAAACCAGTGTCCAACAGGGGAACAGCCAATTCCAACAAAGTAAAATGATATCCAGCTCTAAGCCAGTGCTACAGCTCAAAACATTGGCTTCAGGTATGCTTTGAACACTCAGGTGTTCTTGGTGAATCTACCAGTAAAACCAATTATTGTACTATTATGTGCAGGAGGTGAGGTAGTTATATATTATTTTTATTCTCATTAATGTTAACATGGGCTTAAAGTCAGACATTTCTTTCAGGATTAATTTTTTAAATATATAAATGACAGGAGGGTACGTGCCTATAGAACATAATCACAAAAAATAAATCAACATTTTAATGAGAAATCCTTCTTTTCACAAATAAAGTTTTGATCTACTAATGAAATATATAGCCAACAAACGATCTCAAACAAATAAATCAGCTGTTGTATGGAATTCCATGATTCCTCCAGTTGTATTCATGCCCAGAACTAATAATTGTCCATGCGTTATCTCACAGCTCTACTACAAATTATAATTTTCTGATGCATTATTCTTTTTGGATTTTAAATGCTTTTTAGCCAGTGTTTCACTACAGTTCCCAAGTTCCCATGAAAAACAAACTATTGTGGATTCAGTGCATGCCAAATGGATTATGTCATTCAGGATGACTTAAAATAAATAATCTCAACCTCTGAAGTAACACTTATATAGTCTGATTTTGCAAAGCACACAAATGGTGCCATCTTCAAATTCTTATCCCTGCTAGAAAGTGTGATGTCTGAAACTCCTGTACTGATAATTTTGTTTTTTTTTAAAGGTATTCATTCACTATCAGAGAAAACATCTAACAAGAGACCTACAGGGACAAATATCATGACACTGCCAGAATATTATTTATGAAAATGGTCCAGTCAGATGTTTAGAAGGGGTTTTCTGAATGGATTCTCATATGTTAAATACTGCATTTAATAATAAATACTCCATTCATGTTTGTATATATTTTCATAGAATGTCAACTTCTGAGAAGTGTCCCTTGACATCTAATATCTAAACAACTGCACTCTGTTTATATGAGCGCTATTCCTTGAAGTTTATTTTGATGCATCAGTGAAATTCACTTCCCATATTGGGAACCTGAAGTGTAACTGATAATTGTGCTTTGGAACAAGTTAAGTACCAGCATTGTTTAAGGCCTTCTCAACTGGTTTTGAAGACAAATAAGTGATCCATTTATATGTAAATGACCATAAATACGAACACACTGCATAGACATTTATTTATGTAATGTTTGTCTCACATACATGACAATAAAACTAACATTTCACTAATGTGTTCTTGATGTAATTGATGTAAGACTTTTATCCTGACTTGTTCTACTTGTAGTTACAGATCCTTTATTTAAATCCTTCAATATTCAAACCACTCTGACAATGTGTATTGTTAGAGCAAGAACATTTAATCGTGGAAGGCTAAGGGATCTAACCCCCGAATACATCATTCACCACTTCAGTGTCCACAGTTGAAGCACATACTGCAGATATATTTTGTATATATAGTGAAGATGCAGAGAAAGTGCATTTATAGCTCAAAATTGAAAGAATAGTTGTAAGTTTCTGGAATAATTGTTGAAGTTTATTTGGGATTCTTTAAACAGCAACTGAATGAAATCTTAGAATTAATTTCAACACAGCCTATTCTTTTTATGTTTTGAAGAATGATTATACTTCCCATTTTCTGAGAAAATTAGCAAAAAGACAGTGTAAATATGGAATTGAACTGAACAAATATGATAGTGTATTTTGAGATAGAAAACATTTAGCGAGCTGCACGTGGTGGGGAAAGGCTTAGCTTGATGAAAGCTATCTTAGAAGTATTTTCAGTGGATTTTTTTTAAAAGGTTTCATCATATATGAGGTGGGAGTTCAATTTGAGGAACATCTGTTTGTGAAAATGCTCAAGGCCCTGTCTAGTCTACACTACACTCCAGTGCAGTTTTAGGTCACCTCCGATTATTATATTAGGGAATATCGGGGAAGAAGGGTCTGTAGCAATCAAGGATGACCTCCGTCTTTGAGTGAAAGTCATCCGATTTCTTGGCTTCCTCCTCAGGCAGTAATGTTTCTCAAGAGGAAACCATCCCGGCCAAGGTCACCTATTTTAAAAGATGTTGAACCGTGCCATTTCTCATTTATTTGGAATCTGGGGCTGGGAAAATTATGCTTCTCAAGTTTCCCTGCCACGAAGAAGCTAGCAGATGTTTCTCAAGATGGCATATTGCACCGTTTACACTTAATTTCTCAATTCCTTTCAATGCGACAGTTTCTGTATGTAACTATATATAAAAATCACACCACCTAACCATAAAGGGCACATTTTAAAGTTCTTTGGTGATTTTTTTTTACTTTTATAGCTTTCAACAATATTTTTACAAGGATAAAAAGTACTCTTACCACAAAAATATGTCTTCTTCTATTTCAAATTGTATATTTTTCTTATAGGTTTAATGTCTGGATGCTGGACATTATAAAGATCAGTCTAACAAGAAATTACTCAGCTATTTTATTATTTCTTTAGGTCTATATATGCAGCCCATAATCTTCTGTTTATACTGTACATTTATGTTCTGTCTGCCTCGGTATGGTTTTATAAGTGCAAATGTTTTCCTAAACCTTGCAGACAAGGCTCAGTTTGTGTCATGTAATGTCTGTAATATCTCCAATATTGATTATGGAATACTAAAGGCTGCTTAGCAAAACCATATCATATAACAACTATTATAATAATCAAGCTGTAGAGAAATAAGTGTTCCTCAGGACAACATACTTATTGTCCCTGAAGTAATGTATAATAACAAAACTGTAGTTATTTTATTACAGTATATCTCAATTATAAATTAATTATTAACAGCATAAATAAACAGCATAGTTTCCTTTAGGGAAGTAACCGCAATGGACAAACGTTGCAGAAACTTAAAGATTAATGGAACACTTTGTGGAAAACTTTCAAAGTATATAAATCAGTGCACATCTTTTTCATTTATGCGGCAATTCATTAGCAATAATCACACTGCGAAAGATGCTGCCATCTGTGGTGTAAGTCAGTGCAGTGGATCAAAAGTCTCTTGCAAATAAAAGGCTAATCTACAAACTGTCTCAAATGTTGTACTACAGTATGTGGTTCAGCGCTACTAGCACCTGTTTATGTATGTCCCTTCTTTGGTGTGTCAAATAAAACAGCGTCAGAAGTTATTGCATTGCCCTCATTTCATTACTTTAATAATTCATGGCCATATATTTGTATTTGATGCAACAATTTTTAAGGAACATCTATATGCAAACATAAAAATTCAACATCAGTACTGTAAGCAAAGAAAAAAACACGTTTGCCTTCTGGCAGAGTGTATATTTTGAACACAATGAAAAATTATTGCAGTTGCTAAAACTGGCTCCTGTATACACCATCAGAAAACTAAATGAAGCTTATCTTTGCTTGCATTTCAGAGATGCAGACTAAAATACAATGATAACTTATTTACAATTAATCAAAGTGAAGTGAGTTTATTGTTTGTTTGTTCTAAATTTCCCTTTAGACTGAAGGGGTAATTTAACTCAACAAAAACATGATGAATCTAAGATGAATACAGAATATTAGCAACATTCACCTATGTTCAGTTGTAGTTCACATTTTTTTGTGTTTATTTAACAAATGATTGTATTTTAACTTTGGATATAGTGCACGCAATCACAGACATACTCTACAGATATCCGCTGTTCTATATTTTACCTTGTAGCCTGATTTAGACAGATCTCAGAAGCTTAACAAGACTGAGCCTCGTAAAATACCTGACTGAGAAATCTCCTAGCAAAACCAGATTGCTGTTGTAAGTGGTTCTGGTAGACATGTAGGTGGTACTTTTTCTTTTCTGGGTCAGAATTCTCAAAAACTGTGCTGCAAGAAGTTGTTGTCTATTCGATGAGACATTAAAACAAGTTCCTGACTACTTTGTCGTTAAGTATTCTATGGCCCTTTTCACAAGAGTAGGGGAATAACCAGTGTCTTAGTTAAGTTCCACTTGGGAATTGTACAATCGGACCTTCTTAATCTTCATCAAAAATTAATCTGGTAAAGCTGTGTCTCACTACTCTACTTTATCAGCTGTATAATAGGTGTTGTTTCATAACCAGATAAAACCCATTTACATTAATTGGCATCCAAATTGACAACATAGACTCAAGTGACTATTATAACAACATAGCAAAATCACCAAAGCATGAACTATAATGTAATAAGGTCAAAGTGGAAGTCCTATTTACCCTAAGGATATTGATGATGATTGTGATATGATGGTAATGATGATATTTTTTATATATTCCATTTTTACCTTGTTTCTCAAAGTCAGTAAAGTATATCTGAGGTCAGTTCTAAGTGTCCCTAAGTTATTTAGATGTAAAAAGAAAGTTAAATGAAAGTATTCACCAAGTTTATATTTTTATTTTTAGACAAATTGTCTTCTAAAGTTTTTAACTCAAAAAAGGTTAGAGTAAATGTTAAACACCCTTATAGCTAGCTCACCAGTTTACGTCCTAGGGAAAATGTGATGCAAAAACTGAAATAAAAGATTACTGCTTTTGAAGACCCTACATTTATTCATGGAACTTATTGGAATTATAAATGATTGATCCGTTTTGTTCTCCATAAACAGTTTAAGATTAGAAAAGACTAAACCGGCCACATTTAATTTTTTTTAAGAGACGGAAATGGTTTGGTGTGCCTTTGGGAAAGTCCATCTGCTCACCTCTAATTAAATTGTCTCTTTCCCTTCTCTTTGTTTTCTTTTTTACAGTGTTCCTTCAAAAAAGCTGTCCTATTTTCCATTTTTATCTGTTTTATTCCTTTCCCCCGGGTGCTGCTCTCCCTGCAGTAGTGGTGTTGATTATGTTAGCTCGGCTCTCCCGCTGCGGCTGAGTTTGAACAGTTTGTGGAAGACGGATTGGGGTGAGTGCGCCCAGCCAAGTCCTGTGGGGATTCTACTCTCTGTCCCTGGTTTTATTCCTGACTGTCTCGGAAAGAAAAGGCTGTGAACTGTGCAAAACCTGCGATATGTGAAAGTGCTATTCCTAACCTCTTTGTATCCCAAACCACCCACTTGACAAATGTATTTTGTTTTTTGTACAAACCATGATGTGTTCAAGTTATATAATGTTTTTCAGCATATGGCATACTGACTTTGACTGTCCTTTTAAGAAAAAATAGAGATACAGATACATGTACACAATAAAAATGTCATTTTCTTTTACTGTAGATCAACCTGCTCTTAAACCTGTTAAGAAGAATGGATGGATGAACAGAGCAGATAAGGAAAGGAAGTATCAGATGCAGATGTTGATACAGTATGTCATACAAAGGTAGCATAGGAAGTTGAGAAAATACGTCACACTTATAGATTACTTTCAACACATGTATGTAGACCTCCTTTGGCTTAATGTTCATGTTAATGTAGTTTAAAAACTTGGTGATAGCACAAGCACATATTTTTGTTTGTTCTTTTAATTCTGTCTTTAAATTGCAAAGGATAAGGTTCTTGAAGACTAAAGTAAACTGGAAAATCCTGACGTCACTTTTTGCATGCAGGAATCAGGCCTTGGGGAGACCTTACACATGAGCCGAACACCAAAGAAAGGAGCAACATTCATTTTGGTCATTGTGATCATTATTTTTGAGGAATAGCATAGTTGTATTTTTTCCTGTTTGCCAGGGAAAGATGGAATTTCTCTCTCATCTTGGAGTTGCAAGGTACAGGAATATTTAAGTATTTCAGCACCACCTGCTCTCCAATACTGGAACTAAAGTGTGAAATTATATTTACGAAACATAATTTATGACAGCTTGCAGAAAAATATGGAATCTGTAACTTTTTCCCCACCAGCTTTTGTTATTCCCTTGGTGTTTGCCAAAATATTTTGTGCCTTTCATTTGTCCTGTCTTGGCAAGGTACTCTCTATGGCTGTGTGATTAATTACTTCATTAAATATGAATAACGAAAAATGATCAGTGTGTTAAAGGATTGACCAAAATCTTAGATCTTTGGCAATCAAAATGCTGTCATAGAAATTGTATGGTATACCTTATGTTCTAGAGGTGCATTTGAAAATGTTCCTACTATTTATTTACATTCACAACCACAGAATACAACATAATAGAATTAACTATTGTTTAAGATCATTGTACTAGTAAAAGGTCAAGGAAGGAGAGAAAGTCAGGGTAAGAATAAACGCTATTGAATGTTGTAGCTACAGTGCAAATATGTTATAAGTCTGCAGGTTGTGTTTTAATTACATTTTGTTAAAACATTTTTGTCATACAGTAGCTTTAATGACTAAGAGGTGTGATTTGTTTCTTTAAGAATGTTTTTTTTTCAATTTCTCTAAGCATTTTAACGTGAAAATAAATAAGGTAATGCTGCAATCCCTTTTCCTTTTCATTTAATTAATATGTTAATGACACAGACCAACTGATATCTTATTAATTTGATAAACCCATTTTGTCAATTTCAAGAAATGAAAACCTGTGTTTTGCAACTCATTTTGTTTTCACAACAATGTTCTAATCAACACTTCATAAGAATAAAATGTAAAAAAATAATGAATTTGTGCCTGAAATAAATCCATTACAAAGATTAGATTTTTTTATTTAAAAAACAGTTCACAGGCATGATGAATGTTAATACAGCTGTGGATGAGTACATTTTTTTATCTGAATGGGTGCTTTTATAAATGTTAAGTGTTAATTTTGAAATGAAAGAATACAAGAACCAGCTTGCAAAGGATTAACTTACAGCATGAGATGATTAAAGACACTTTCTTTAAAAATTGTGTTCAGGAGTCTCAGGGGAGAAAATGGTTTTGGACAGACATTGCTTTCAATTATGTCAGACAGACAAAAAAGCTATTTGGAATTGACTGCCAGGTTTCACTGTAGAAACTCTTTAAAATCAGTACAAGAATATACAGACAATATGTGGCCCAATTTCAGAAGCATATAATTGAAAACCCCTTTGAATTATACCATTTTCTTTTTTTTAGGATGTCCTGTAGGGGTTTTACACAAAAGACACTGCTGGGTTGCAACTTTAGTTAGTGCTCCTTGAAATCCAAGGATCTTTATCCTTCATAAAACTAATTAAAATACACCCACTGTTCTTCAAGTGGTCTGAGGCATTCTTCAGAGCAAAAGTATCGAAGGCTTAGGACTTCAAAAAATAGAGATTAGCTAATAGAAAAGTATTAACAAAAACAAGGTCCTTGTATCTTTTCTGTCATTCCTTTTTATTTATTTAGTCCAGTAGCACTGTTACTTTATACTGTATATAGGCGAGTTCTTTATAATTTCACATCAAACTTGTAAGGTCAGAGTCATAATGGGCAAATTGTCAGAAAGAAAACAAAAAAATGCAGAAAAGACTTTTCATTTGGTTTCAGAATCATCTTTTTCAAGAGCAGATGGTGAGGCAAGCATAGGGAGATTTGTTTTTTGTCACCAGTGCATTGTGAATATCACATGACAATGATTGTATGGCCTAGATTAAAACAAGTTTCTACTACTTTAAGCTGTTTTTCCTTTTAAACTCTAAATAGCCACCTACATTATGCTACTGTACTGAAAATGTGTTTTTCTTTATTGATTATTGAAATCGCCCTTGGGTAGTGTGTTTGTAGTTTAGAATATCTGTACACATTTTTTATTCCAGCAACAAAATGAGTGAAGTTTGACCAGCAATACTGTGCTCAATACCCAAATTCTACATCACAGAGCCTACATACAAAATAGAAGCTCATTTCAAGAGGAAAAAGGCTAAAGGTGATCCCAGTGTAAAATTAGAATGATGAAAACTGCATTAAAATTAATTTCAGATCACCATGTGGGCAGGTACACAAAGGATTTTTTTTTCTAAAACATCATATTTCTTTCTTTGATGTGCATACATATTGCCGAAAAGATCTCAGGAGTTCTTCTGTTTTTATTAAAGAGCTTGCACTTTTCTAACACCAGAAAAGTATTCTCTCAACAGCCTGACTTCTTGGAAGGTCACAAGTAATGTTTATATACAGTGATAATTGGGCCATTTGAGAGTTTCTAAATAATATGACAAATGTTTTTAAAAAATCAACAAACAATAAATAAAAATAGATATAAGTAAAAATAAGAAACGTACAATACAACAGGTAGTTCTTGGTCAGATTTTCCTTTATTTTAGATTGCCTGCTTTGGTGTGCTCTAACTCCAGTTCTGGACACCCACAAATAACCTTGTATTATTCATCAACTACTCAAAGATTTACAGTGCATTTAAAACACTTCTGTATTGAAGCCAAAATCAACAATTAGAGATGTACACCTCTACTGCACAAAACAAAGACAATAACTTTTTTTTTTGACGAGTCAAGAACTTATTGGAATTTTGAAGCAAAAATCATGAGCTTCTAATGGAATCATTGGCTGGGATATCAGGAATGAAACACAAAAATAACCATAATCCGTCATTAGAGATAAAGCCTGTTGTTGTAAGACCCTGATCTTTAGAGACACCCCTGGGTTGTGAAACAAGGAAGGATGCCCTATTCCCTTCCTACCTGGCAACAGACGAATCCAAACAGGGTAACAAACCTCAGTCTCTAGCAGTACTAAACACTAAGCCTCAACAATTTAAGACACTAAATCTCATATTAGATTAGAATTACATAAAAAGAGCTTTGAAGCAAAAATAAACTACTACCATATTATGCTATGATCCACCTTGCCTTATTGATACCTCTGTGATGTAGTGAGAGGTGACTCTGTAAGGAAGCCGCCATCTTAGCTCAATACCCTGGCCCAGTGGCGTGGCCTTGAGCCAATATGGCTGCCTGTTAGAAGAGCTGGAGAGAATGAGGCACAGCTGGTCCATGTGAGTCTTCAGCAGTGGAGTGGGATTCTATGTGAGGAAAGAAGCTGTAAGGATAGGCTCTGCATAATTTAGCCACTCTTCTGGGGCTAATTAACAGACTTATAAGACCAGTTGGGAAAAAAAAAAGTTGTTCTGTGTGTGTCTCGGCTCTAGCAGGGAAGGAGAGACAGTGAGAGTTCCAGTGGGGAGGTCTTAATACTGACAGATTTAGCCGACTTACAGGCCTGTGGGACACAGCGGGCTATGAGGTCATTTGAAGAAGATATAGTTTAAGCCATACAGAAGCACATTATAAGTTCTGCACAGATGGGATGCATGGTAGCTTTTTCGCAAGACCCAATGAAGATATAGTGCGCTGCCGAAAGCAGGTTTGATCAGCTGAACCTCGGCGGACTGCAGGTGTTAGCACCGGGAGGCGATGAATGTCTTTTGGCAAGGTAGCAACACACTGTATCTTTTCCCAACAGCTAAATGCAAGAGGAGTCTAGATAGCATAGTATGAGTCCCTTTACCTTAAAAACTGCCAACAGATGTCCTATCTCAGACAGTGAGAATTAGAGAGAGCGTAAGGAAATTAGAGTTAGGAAATGACTGGTGCTATGCTTTGGGATGCAAGGGTTTTTTAATAGAGAGACGTCTGTGGCCGAAAAGGATGAGCTGGGAGAACAGTGGATGACGAATGAAGGGATGTGTTAAGGAAAATAATCTCAAGTCTAGGATTGGTGAAGATCGTGAAGTACTGGGTACTGGAGAGTACATCAGACTCTCCGCCAGGCTGTTGATGAGTAGTAAGATTGAGGAAGTGTTGAAGATTGAGAGAGAAGAGGAGTAAGGTAGGAGACATGAAGGAAGATGGGTTCCACTGAGTGAGTCAGAATATATCTGAATCCTCCAATGAATGGTGATCAGTGAAGATAAAAAGATCTGAGAGCCATGGAGTAAGTCAGATTGTGAATGAAGACTCCATTTCCCAGGATAAAGCTAGGGAGAGCAGAAAGTTTGAGAGCGAGTGATGAGTAGTGAGAGAAGAGACAAGGAATGACCAGCTAATGGAAGATGTCCACACAGTCTTCCCCCAAGGTCCAAGGGGTTTTTGGAATAGCATATAAAAGCAGAGACAGGGAAATTAAAATGCAAAGGGATAAGGTGGTATGCTGGCAATATCGGGATGTCTGAGGAGTATGATGGAGGAGTATATACTGTGTTGTTACATCCTCATTCAGAAACATTTATGTTGTAGATAAGATATTCCTGATCTGGAATCTGTCCAAAGAACATCAATCAGGTACATTACCAGACTTAAAGGTCCTACACCAATAGAATAAAAACTAAATCCAGTCTTAAATAGAGAGGACTACTAGCGGGCCTGTGTCAAGTATTCAAAGTCCTCATAAGCATTGACAAAGTCTACCTGATAACAGGAACCACATTTCTAGAAAAAAATTACTTTGAAATATAGATTTGGAAATTTACGCTTGGCCTTTGCTTCAACTGCATGGTAAAGTTGTAAGATGGCATATAAATCCTACAGGACAGTGCTCTAAGGTCATTTAAATCAGTCCTTCAGAGACTGCCTCGAGGTCAGTGAGTTTATCTTCATTGTTTCTAGGTCTCTCCAATCTGTCTGAATCACACATTTGTGCATTATCTTTGCTAGCTAGGGGTGCTGAGGGATAAAGCCTGCAAAGAAACATTTTTTTATGCTGCTTAAACCACGTTTTTTATGGTCTCTCATAATACGTAATGAGGAGTTTTACTGTATGAATCTGAATATAATTGCTAAAATTGTTAGTGCAATGTGTAAAAAGAAGTTTCAGTGGAAGTAATCCATAGAGACATACCAGCTGGCAGAGAGTGGATTTAAATAAACAAGTAATATGAAAGTGAACAAAAGAAAAAGGTCTCCATATACTCTAAGTGTTGTCCCACAGGAACTGTCTCTTGCTATCACCTTATCTGTAATTCTAGAAGTTTTTTTTTCTGTGTGACCCATTTAAGGGAAAAATATCAAACCTGTGAAGTAAAGTGTTTTAAATATGCTGTATAATGATCATGCAGCAAATGTTTGGAATTGAACTTCAATTTTAGGAAGATCACCTGGAGGATTAAAAAAAGTGGAGGTATAAGAGTGAAACGAGACAGGAGTAAAAATATGGGTTATGTTCATTTCCAGACACATTTTAAAAGAATTACACAAAATATATAATAGTAATCAGTTTTCCTAAAAAGTTTTCGCCACCAGAACAACTCTCTAAAGCAATAGTTCCCAAAACTGATCCTGAAGGAACATTGTGTCTGCTAGTTTTTGCTCCTTCCAGGGTTAATTGATTCCGGTTTTCTACTTGGGATGTATCTGTAACTCTGAGCACTCAAAAAAGTGTAAGTTGGGATTTGTAAAAATCGTGTGCTGATTTCTAAGTTTCAGAAGTGCCGTAATTCAGGTGTGTTGCCTAAAGTGTAACCAACTGGACACGGGCAGAAGGAAAAAAAATATCTTGTGGGAGTGTTATTCCCATCTGTGTCTGTTTATCACAAATTGATTAACTAGTAAAATCTGTTCAGTCAGCAGTGACAGCAAGCAAGTTAAGGAGAGGCTGTGTACTGATATAGTTTGAAACAGCACCCTTAAAGTATGGTATTTTTTTAAACTCAAGAATGACACACAAAGTAAGCTGAATGAAAGTCTAAATAAACAAGCAGATTAATTAGGTTATCAATTAACACTGATTAAAACTAGAACAGAGCTCAGATGGAATAAGGACCAGGATTGAGTACCCCTGTTCTTAGAGTGCCTGTGCAGTTTTATCTTCATTTATTCCTGCTGTGAGGAGTAAAACACTTCCTACTAAGTAAAGGTTCTCGTTTGCATGGTCATACTGCTTTTCACTAAGATCTATATTGTTGACACGTTATTTTTCACTCAAGCTGTTTCATGTTAAAAGGTCTGGTCTTGCTGCTTCAGAATGTACTGCTGAAGAAAAGTGCAGCACAACAGCAACCAGCCACTTCTATTAATTTTGGGGTTTTGTTTGAGATGGATCTTAAGAATCTGATCTGCCATAAATGCTGTGTGGTTCAGGGGCTGTTTGAAAGCCTGTCTTGAGGTCTCTATATGAGCACGTGTCAGCAGTATTTTTCTTCATTCAAAACTCAACATCCATCTTATACTTCATTGAGCACTAGTTCACTGCACTCCACATGCACCAATGCAATATCCCTCATGACACGTTTTGAAAGGTAGTGTTTTTCAAAAGCCAGACAAACTGATTTTTTCCGTACATGTGAGCCCTGCAGCTGACAAGATATTGGCACTTGGGTGACTACAACAAAAGATCCTGACAAAAGCAAAAGCGATTTGGTGTGAGACAACAAATGAGAGCTTCCTTCTTTGTTTTGATAGGCACTGGAGTCTGTGCTGCCACAAGATCAGTTTATTGGCCATATACAATTTTCTTGCATTAGGATTTTGTCTTTTTGCATACCCCAGCTTGCTCTCCATGAGACAGGCACACAGACGGGGAGAAAGAAGCTTGGGGTCAGAACACAGGGTCAGCAATTTATATGGCGCCCCTGGAGCAGCTGGGGTTAAGGGCGTTGCTCAGGGGCCCAACGGAGTAGGATTCCTCTGCCAGCCCCGGGATTTCAACCGGCAACCTTCTAGCCACAGGCGCAGATCCTTAGCTACACCGCTCCACCACACCCCGAAAAATCAGGGGGCAACATTTAGAGGACCAGATTGTACAATTCTCAAAGTAATACTGGGGTCAACACTCATAGTGCTGGGTCCTTGGTTTAATATCACATCTGAAGGACAGCACCTTCTACAATGTAGTGTCAACATACTGGGACATGGTTTTGGAAATTCTGGTCCAGGGGGAAAATTGCCACTTATACCAGCAAGCTGGTTTTGCCTGGAGGTCTCTCAGCCCAGTGCTCGCCAAACCAGGCTTTCCTCTCATGCGATCGGACTATTGTTTTACATGCCTTTCCCCCTGATGACATGGAGATTCCACTTTAGGGTCTTTGGACACCCTCTATAAGCTATAAACGGTTGTCCTCTGGCTGATTTTAAATTGAATCCCTGCTGGCTGTGGATATCGTTAACAATTTGTTCGACTATTTAGCTTGAATTCCTCTTTTCTACTGTCAAACAGTTTTGGTTCTTATTAAACCTGACATTTTCTGTTGGTTCTGTACCTTGCAATGTTTCTGCTTCTTCACACTGCCAGCCTTTCAGGAGTTTTTATATACCATTCTAAGGAGTCTGTGTACTTAATATTTAACTATGTTTATGAGATGGGGTTTGAGTACATATAACCCTTGCCTTTTTGCCATGTTCTGAAGAGGCCTGAAGTACATTTGTATCATTTCTGAGGAAGATTGGAAATCGTAAGGATTGTAATGGTATTGAGAGACATTTCACTCTTTCACCCAAATCCTATGACTGGTTGAAAACAGTACTAGGTTGGACATGCTGTATATTTTCTTTTTTGCAGTTTTTTCCAGTTATTTGTGGTATCTAAAGTACCTTATTAAGACAAATTGGCATACAAATACTGATATTCAGATGGAATTGTTCAACAGCAAGTAAACATTTAATGTTATTTTTATTTGTATAGTTTCATATAAGCACATTTATTTCATTCTAAATATTCTTGAAACCTCTTTTGTAGCTCTTTACATATTGTGTCAATAGCACCTTGCAGAAGATAGAATATAGAAGATATTGTTTAAAATTAATTCTGCACTAAATTGTAGAGCCCATAAAACAAGACAAAGAAAACTTTGTAGAAACACAAGCAATTGCTCCCTTCACTATATTTTCAGTATATTAACAGCAGGAATTCCTAGGTTTATTACAAGTGGTTCTTTCTGACACAGTTAACCAGTTAGTGGCACAGTAACTCTTTATTAAAAGGAATTTAGAAATGTGTAAATACGTACTGTAAGTATCCTATAAAGAATCTGCAGCTAATTCAATATGCTGTGTGAAGATTGTGATATTTTAGGATTTAAAATTGGAATGAACACATGCTGATTAACACGTTTTAGTCCAAACCCACTGACAATATGAAACGATCCCTGTCTGAGAGACACACGTGTCAAGAAAAAAAAAAGTTGCAAGATTTGTTGTGCTGCTAAGTGATATGCAATGAATTAATACAGAACATTGTAGAACCTTTACGTTTGTAAGGCTCATGCCAAAACAAAAACATTTATCTTATAAAACAGTTGATCTCATTTGATGCCAACTTTACAAGAAGGACATCTATCAGGCATCATAGAATAATGAGTTTTTATATGTAATATGTAAATATACTGTATATATAGTTGATTCCCAAGGTTTTTTCTATCAGACAGCAATCATTTTTTGAAGAGGTGATTACTTCAGAAATTAATTTGGGATCAGTTTGCTAGTGACTGATGGGAGCGTCTGGAAGGCTTTCAAACACAAGAATGCTGCTGGTTAAAGTGAGTGATGCAGTCACTGGTTTCCTGATGTGCCTTTCCCTTGTTTCAAAACAACTTTATTCATTAGGTTCTGTCATCAAAAAGCCCGGTGTCAAGACAATGTGGAGACAATGTTGCCTGAAAGTGTCCTTCTTTCATTGCTTTTTTATGCACTTATTTCTACTAAATGTTTGGCGTGACACCCAAAACATCAACGTTTCACTATGTCTATGTTTAAACACCTTCCACTGTCACTCATATTATGGAAAATCTAATCTTTTTAAATACTTGATGTGTATTATTTAAACCACTTAAGACACATGAGAGCATTTAGCCCAAAACTACACCAAAATGAATAATGCTTATTTGAATCTAAGTCCCCAAAATTGTTTTATATATTTCCACAGAAAACTGGATGGTCAACAGGTTCAACTGCACACAATAGAGACAAATATTGCAGATGCCATAATCCCCCACCAAAGAATTAATGCAAATTATTTCCTTAAATTACATTGCACTATGAAACTATATTTCATGCAGTCAGCAAAACCAAACAACATATTGGACTTTTTAAACTGGCTGAGAATTTAATGACAATGCCCCTTCTATTTGCATGAAGTAGCAATTCAAACTAAATTAAGCTGGCAAAACTAAAGAAAGCAAAGTAATAATTTAATGAAGGTGTGTGGCGTCTCTTCCCTCTAGCAATCGCAATTTACATTTTGTTCACAGTGATAAAACTCAATGAATATCACTTTATTTGAAAAAGAAAAACAGTACATCACCACACATCGATCCCCCAGAGTCATACACTTCAGGGAACAGAGAGAGCTTCAGTATATTTTAATGGAGATCACTTACTGTAAAGTGGTCTTGTATGGGTTTTCAAAAATAAATACAAAATGTGATCCACTTACCCCTAAATGTCTGCTGCGAATTTTCACATATCCCTGTTTCACAATATCATTAAAATTCGAAGCCATTGCCTGAGAGCTTTCTTATCTTAGAAGCCCAGCGCTGGTGGAGAGTCTGGATGTCAGACGATGCACAGATGCTGAGATCTCACTCCTGGTTGAGACTGCAGACACTTAGCTAGTGTTCAGGAATTCATTCTGGAGTGCAAAGTAAATGGCCAGTTTGAATCCACATGGGAGAAGTGTGTGAGTTGCACAGAGACATGGATAGCTCAGCAAAGCCAGACAGAAAGAGACAGATACAGTGTAGGCAGAGGGGTTGGAGTAAGCACAGGCAGTGCGACTGAAACAGCTACTAAGAAAGGCTGGCTGCTTGCTCTAAGGAATGTACCATCTTGCCAAGTTTCTGAAAGGACAGGAGTCAGTGATGCAGCCCCGTGTCAACTGGTATCTGTCTCCCTCTCCCACCACATTAGCATTTAACCTTTCCCAATAGTTTTCCTCCCTGAGAAAGGATTTCCGATTTTGCTCCCAAACGACTATGACTTGTTTTACATTTTAAGCCTATACAATAAAAGAATACACGGTGCTTAGTGGGCTAAAATGAGTTCTTCTGTAAAATTGTTGGATGGTGCTTTGTTATGGTTTCTTGCCATCAATTGGCATCTTTGACAATTTTGGCCCTCACACTCTGGAGCAGGGGCTGAACAGAAACAGTCCAGCATAGGTGTGCATATCTTCAAATTATCTACTGCAGCTTAAGGAGCTTGTTCCACAGCTATTTATAGCAAAAAAACACATGAGCTTTATTTAGCTTGCTATCTTCTGTGAACAAGGCTTTGTAAGAAAACTGTGAAATAACACTTTCAACTTGAGAAATCATGTTCATGTTTTTGCCAAATTAATCTAAAACTGTAAGCTCAGTAAGCAAAATGCCATATACTGTAACAAGCTGTCTGGACTTTAATTAAACCTGTCAATGAATGCAAACAAATACTGTCCAATTAACACACAAAATGGATATTTGTTTTTTGTTTAACCCCTTGGTAATAAATTGTAGTATTTTAGAAAATCAAGAGATATGAACAGATTTTTGAATTTTTAAATAAATATTCCATTATCCATTCAATAACCCTAACTGCGTAGTATGCACAGAGTATGGTGCCCCTTGCAGTATAGTTAGAAAGATGGGCACATCATATCAGTACTCACAGACACCTAATGCAAAGTGAGAATTTTACTGAGCAGCATCAGCACGAGAGCTGAATAGGAATGTGTAGAGGTTAATCCCGGGGTGAAAACCAAACTTTTAGACTGTGAATTTGTGTGAATATACTATGGTAAATCCATGGGCTATTGGACTAATAAGGGGGAAGGGGTGTCTGTTATTGACGAATGTCCATTAGATCACAATGACACTGTTGAGCTACCCCTGTAGGGGCACCATTGATGTTCCTGAATTTTAAACCTACTGTACGTAGTATTTAGTTTATGTTAATATTTCTGCATTCCGTCGTTATTGTGGGGAAAAGTCCGGTATGTCTGGTGTTCCTGACAATATTTTACAGAGTTTGTCCAAAGTCTGTTAACAAAAATACAACATCAACTGTTCAGCTAAAGATTTAAATTCTCTTTTGGAGATTTCTGCTGTTGGGGTTCCAGAATTGTTTACTCCTAATTAAATGCTAGGTGTTTAAGGTAGAACTAGTAGGATTAAGATATGTTTTCGGCAACAGTTACCCTATACACTCCAGAACCTGTCTTAATGATGCCATCGCTGTAAAATCGAGGTCAATACACCCATATACCATCTGTTGTCTAACTCATTCGAGTGGCCTCATTGTGTCAGCAGAGTGTGAACCTGCGTTCTCACCACACATTTTGTTTAATTTGAATGGAGCTGCAATCCAATTTGTTCAGCGTTTTTGTTTTTGTTTTCTTTTGAGACACACAAGCCCCCATCTTCTTCAGGCACAGATTGGTAATATCCTTTTTTCTAATTGTTTGAAATTCTTCCTTAACCATACTGAATCCAAGGCCACAGAGGAATGTGTTCTCTCCTTGAAAACTCAAGTAGATTCAACAGACAGCAGCAACAATAACAGCACAAAAGCCTTCTAAAGTGGAAACTGAATGATGACACACTCGATGTACAAATTAAGCAACAAGCACTGAACAGAGAGCACAAAAATACATCTAGCAATCCAGAAAGATATTTAAACAACAAGTTCAAGAAATGCCATGGGCATTGTATAATTAAAGTGTTTGGAGAGATATTCAATGTAATCATTTTCACCTGAATATTGAAACATTGTTCTAATATTTATTTTGATTTGTATGACCTTTTTTTTTTTTGCTAAATTAACTGGGAATGGATATAATGACAGCACCAACATAATTGCAAAAATGTATCAGCTGGGTCTGTGAAGTTAATTTCGCGTTTTTTAACAGTTCAAGGGGGGCTACATCGGACCATTAATGTTCAGTGTGTAAATCTGTCTTTTCTTCTCCTTGAGAGCTGTGCCGACATCTGCAGCAGTATGGTTTCAAGGGCCTCCAGGAGATGATGCTGTCATAACCTTGACTGCTCCAGTTGTATAACTGGAAGCAGCTGCATTCACTTTGAAGCATAACCGCAACACAGTAGGGTCCCATTTAGGTGGAATATTGTATTTTTACCCAGCTGAACCCTAAAGAAAATGTTATAAGCTCACACCCATAACCTTCTTAGGCCTGTGAGGGGAGTGAAAAGTGAAACCTCTGCCTTTAGTGAGTGAAAGAAAGGGAGTTACCAAGGGTGAAGATACTGAACTCAAAAGCTACAATGCTTTGAGCTCATGTTCTTCTGGTGTAGTCCCATCTGTAATGCTGCATCTTCGATCATGCATCTTATTGACAACTCCCCTTACGTGGTAATTTTGGGGCTGCATGGTGTCGTGGTAGAGCTGCAGCATCCCAGTGGTTACATCAAAGGTTCAGTTCTACCCTAGTTTAACTTCTGACAGGAACCCTCCATGTTCCATTCTTCCTGTGTCTGAGTGTGTTTTCTTTGGGAGTCTTGGCTATCTCCCACAACCCAAAGACATGTTGTCTTGGTTCACTACTGTAGCTTCTCTACACTGTCCCTGTGGTGGGTGTCCCACTACACCCCACGAAGGGCATTATGGGTGCCCTGCAGTGCATTCTCCCTTGCACTCGTTATCTGCCAGGTTAGGAAAAAAATGAATTCTCTGTAAATTTCTTTAGAGAAAAATATAATAGAAATTCCTAACCTTTTCCAAACTAGTTTCCCCCTAGTTAAGACAGCCAAACAATATGGTATTATGATTTTGGCATAGTAAGATGAGTTATAAAACTCTACAAAGAACAGATGTAATGAATAATGAAAAATGCTTTCCTTTATATACACACAGCACATATAACATTTATATTCCAGAGCTGGGTGGCCAAGTGGTTAGTAGTGTTGCTTAGGTTCAATTCCGGACTCGGGGTGCTATCTGTGTGGAGATGTTCACCCCGTGTTCATGTGGGTGTACTCTAGGAGTTCCAATTTACTCCCACAGTCCAAAGACATACTGGTAGGTTAATTGGTTTCTGGCTTCTGGAAAATTTCCCCCTGGTGTAAGTGTGTCTTTATGTGTGTCTCTGTGCCCTGTGATGGACTGGTATCCCATCTAGAGTGTACCCTGCCTTGTGCCCATTGCTTGTTGAGATAGGCTCTGGCTGCAATGCTGAATGGGATGAAGTGGTTAGAAATGAATGGATGGGTTAATATTCCAGAAATGGGATTTGGGTATCCACAAACTCAGTTATCAGTCGAACTAAATACGCTGTTGCATATTTATTATGAAGAATTTGTTTCCTGAGCTTGAAATAAGCATTCCCGACGTCACATCCATTGTTTCTTTTATGTTCTAAATCCTCATTCTGTTGTGTTTACTGTAGCAGGAGACAGCTGATTCTGACTAGTTTTAAAGTCATTAAAAACAAATAAACTAAAACTAATCTGTAGGCGAGAATGGACTGGCTTTGAATAATATTTGGTTATTCAAAACTGTAGGAATAAAGGGGGAAATTATTGATTGTAAATTTATATTGTAATAATAAAAAAATGTCCCAGGAAACGTACCGAAGATTAATTATAGTCTGGCTGTTTTAATAGTCTAGGAGTGGATTAAGATAATGTTCTTGACTGGTTTATTTATTCTTTTTGGATATGCATCATAATATACACTGAAATTAAATTTAATTTATTGCTACCCAGTGCCTGCCAAGGTATTCCATAGCCCTTTACAAACTTCAAAACAAAATGATGTTCTTAAACAAACTACACTTAATTGCCAATTTTTATGCAAAACTCATTTAGATTAATTTTGATTCAGTGGCAATAATAATACCCAAGAAGTAAGTGAACTGAAAGAATTATAGAGTGTCTTAGTCAAAATGTGGCTTAACCCACTTGACCGAGAGCTAACCTCCTGGCCACAGGACATGGAGGCTGGGACCCCCCTGCAGAGTGAGGAGTGACCCAGGAGCAGCTGCAGAGGTGGGGATGGGGTGGAGGTTGGATGTAAAAAGAGTAAGGGAGTGAAAGAGATAACGTGTAGTATTGTTAACGGTTTTAGGTGAGGAAATGACGTCAGCAGTTATTGCAAATTACTGACAGCTGTGTCTAATTGAGCTTGGCTGTTGTCATCCCTCCTAAACTTGTGTTATAAATTACATTTAGTGTTCAAGTAAAGAGTCCAGTTCCCTCGTTCCTCATTTTAATAGTAAGGAGGTTCCACAGGAACTGGCAGTTCTGGAACATGGGGACTGAAGATTCCAGCACGGTATGGCCAGCAAATTCCCAATTTGTGATCTTTGAGAACAATTGGAAACGCACAGAATCAGAAACAAGAAAGCCATAATCTATACAACTTCTTCCTGACCAAGATGGAGCATAATACGATTTTGTTCATATAAAAGACCAGTCATTTTACACAGCTGTGTTTAACAGAAGTACTGTTATGTAGCTGCTTTACTGCAGAGATGAGTTCTGGTCATTCTCTCTAATTATTATCAGACTATGAGTACCCAGAGGACCAAGTCTGACAGCTATTATGCATCACAAGCTCATTATTACGTGTAATTGGAGGCACGATAAAACATTTTCAGTGAACAAAGTTTTTTCCATGTTCATTCCCTCAAATATTTAAAAGTGCCTTGCAACCACATCGCATTAAAACCTGAGCGAACAGGGCTAATGTTATCAAGAACCCCCCCCCAAAATAGAGAAGTCTTCCAAAGCTGGGTAGGTGGAGGTGGATTAGAAAAGGAAGAAGAA